AAAACACGCAGTTCGGGAACCCGAAAATGGGCTGTTAAGCACCGAAAATGGCATTCGACCACGAAGTGGGTTTCTCAGCCCCCAGTGTCCCTCAACAGGGAGCAAATAGGAAGTATGCCAAAAATCAGAGCAAAAGGAGATGGTTAAGCGGTCCCGAACCGAGGCACACGGCCAACGGTCCCGAAAACCGGGAACCGGACTCCGAAATGGGCAAAATGGCCTACGGCCACCAAATGTAGCCTACGGACATTGAGAGACGGTCTACGGGACCTCTCCCTTCCCTCACGAAAAGAAACAGAGAAAATCGAGTCTGTTTCGCAAACCGAGACAAGGCACAGAAAAGGGTTCGGAAGTCCGGAGGCAGGGCTCACGGCCGCGACTCTGAAACTTCTGAACGAGTACATTATGCAACATCACCAAGCACTCAATCGGTGACGTCTGAGTCTTAAGGTCGGTCAAAAATGGGGTGTCTACACTCTCTCATCGAGATTCCGTTCTAGGTTGTTCTTGTGTCCAAATTGAAGCCCCGGAAATAAGCTTTCCAATAGTTCTAACCTCACATTCAAATTCAAAGTGTAGAAAAAGAAAAAGGCAAATGAGTGACGGCTGATCGTAGAATAACTATCCGGATTATATTCTTTGGTCCAATCTTACTTTACCATCATACCACCACCTCAATTAATAACCCAAAATAGGATAAAAACATTCTCAATTCCAATAGATATAGTTGAATTAAAACACATTAACCCTTAATTAAATAAGGATGACTTTTGGGGTCATTACACGACCCCTCCCAGACCGGTGTCTACCCCAATTTTCAGCAAGCAAATTTCAGAAACAAAGGGTCGACCCTTCCCAGACTAGTGTCTACCCCAATTTCCAGCAAGCAAATTTCAGAAACAAAGGGTCGACCTTTCCCAGACTGGTGTCTACCCCAATTTCCAGCAAGCAAATTTCAGAAACAAAGAATCGACCCTTCCTAGACTGGTGTCAACGCCAAAACAAGATTTTTAAGTTCTTAAACAATTTTTGTACGTAACCAAGCGTGAACAAGCAATCCTAACAAGTTTAAATTCATTTGTACTCTTGCAAAAACTAAGATACAACGACACTAAAAATTTCCAAAATAAAATAAAGGATTCAAATACACTTCCTAAAAGCTTTGAAAGACACAAGTGCTACACTTATACAAATTTTCATAAGATTACTGAAACTTTTCATCATCACTCATAGAGGATTCATCATCAGTTTCATTCTCAACCGGCCTCTTCGGATACTCTGTTCGTCTTTCAGTTTCGGAAGCCGCCATAAAAGTAAGGAATTGTTCACTGCGCCTTGTGCTTTGTTGTCACTTTCATCTTTATCAGACTTTGATTCATCATCCCAAGTGCTAGCGAAGGCTTTCTTCTTCCTCAAACGAGTAGGGCATTCTTGAGCAAAGTGGCCAAATCCTTAGCATTCATAACATTGGACTCTTTCAAAGTTCCCTTGTATTTTTCCTCTCTTCTTCTGGGTTATAGAATTAATTTTGAATTTATCTTTGCCTTTGGATTTATGAGTTGATTCCAAAAGATTAGGATTCTTTTTCAGAAAAGACATCTTAAATTTTTTTACGAAAGCATTCGTAATCTTGGAATCAATCTCACAATCCTCATCAGAATCCTTTCCAACAGTATGAGCACTACTAAAAGTAATATCATCTTTTTGTTTCTTTTTGAAATTTCTATGTGCCTCATAAGTTTGGAGATTTCCAACCAAATGATCTAGCTTGAAGTTGTCAACATCTTGAGTCTCCTCAATAGCCGTAACTTTTGGTTGGAACCGATCGGGCAAGGATCTCAAAATTTTTCCCACAACCTTGGATTCCAGTATGTTTTCACCTAAATTGAAGCTGAAATTACAATGTCACTTAACTTCGCATAAAATTCATCAAAAGTCTCACTATTTTTCATTGAAAGGTTTTTGAAACCAGACGTGAGCCTTTGAAGTTTTGAGCGTTTAACAAAATGAGTGCCCTGATGAATGGTTTGTAAGATATCCCAAGCCTCTTTTGCAACTTCACAATTGTAAATATGACTAAACTCTTCAGGTATGATGGTGTAAAAGAGAGAATTGATAGCTTTACTACTCCAGCTACTATTTTGGTAATCAATTGTGTCCCACTTATCAATTGGTTTGGGAAAGGTTACTCCATCAACGGTAATCGTCTATTCGGTCCACCCATACATGATAGATTGCCAAACTTTTTCATCAATAGATTTTAAAAATGATCTAATATGAGCTTTCCAAAAAGAATAATTGGATCCGTCAAGTAGGGGTGATCGATCCATAGAATTTCCCTCACGAATTGAATCCATTATCACAAATCAAACAAAATCTTGCTCTAATAGTTTTTTTTTTTTAAATAAAAAATAGAACGACCTGCTCTAATACCAATTGAAAAATCTAGAAATCCCCTAGAATTATTGATTTGTGATTATGTATCAATTTTAATCAGTAAATAGCAATCCCAATTAAACAATCAAGACAAATCGACACAACAATTTTAACATGGAAAAACCACAATTGGAGCACCTCCAATTGTGATAAAAAAAAAATTACGGGCAAAAATCACAAAACAATCTACTAAGAAGACAAAAGGAATTACACAAGTGCACTCTCAATTACCTAGCGAATCCACGCCCAAATTGAACCGACCCCTATATGCCTCTTCCATCACGGTCTTCACCTTGGAATCGTCTTGCCCAACGTTGAATCCACAACGCTGATGTCGAATTCACGATGATGAGTCACTCTAGAATCCACCAAAACTTTAAGTCCAAATTTCACGAAATCCACTGAAGAACAACACTCTCTTTTGTATCGAACGAAACAAATAATCATTTGATGTATACTTTTCAAACCAGATTTAAACTCAAACAAACATCAAAGAAACTAGCAAAGAAGCTCTAGATATAAACCCTAATATCCAAAAAGAAAATCTAGAAGCCGTTAACCTAAAATCGGACTGAAACACATATTTATAGAAAACAGGGCCGCGATGGTCGCTCGAGCGAAGGATCTCTCGCTCGAGTGAGGAGACTAAAACGCGTGTTTTTCCAAAAGTCTTCGCTTGAACCACCAAAGTGTCGCTTGAGAGAGAAAAGCAACTTCTCAGTATTTTTACAGTCAGTGAAAACTTCTGGGACCAAGGATTCTTCGCTCTAGTGCATATTCCTTCGCTCGAGCGAACAAACAACTTCAATTGTATTTTTGCTTTTTGCTTCAAGGGCACTACCCCTCTACCCCGCCTAGGCGCTGCCCTAGACCCGCCAAGAGACGCTGCCCCCTAGACCCCCACAAACTGATCGGGCAGCTCGATCCCCGACAGAGTCAGCGAAGTGGCAAACATGATAGGACTTCGGATCACAAAATCCTTTGCAAGGGCATAATTCGGGTTGGATTCGCATCTAAAACTTATAGCCTCACTGAAATAAAAGTTGAACAAAATTACAACTGAAAGGAGTTTTGTCAAACGGGATTGCCAAGAATAAAAACCTAACAATCTCCATTAGTCATTTTTCCAAGATCTCCAAAGACTTTATGCTGTTTCTTCTTAGCCATCACTCCAAATTAGACAAGTCCTACCAGGCGTGCCAAAATATGTTAGCAAAAATCTGGTTTAAGTCAAATCGACAAGAGTGGATTCGATAGAGAAACTAATTTTCACAAACAAAAACACTGATATGGCAATATGGTTGGTATCCGATACCTTGACAGATTCAATGACTTCTTTAGAGGTTGTAATGTGAAAAAACAAAGATGAACAAACTAGAAATGTGATTAATAACACTTTAACTTGTCACTTAATTACAAGTTTCATAGCATTATAATCGACAGGTCCAAATTCAGTTACAAGCACTGAAATTACTGTTAATCTACTCCTAAGTTATAGAACAACTCATAGATAAGTTACAGTACTCCTAGATTTCACAAATGTTGTGAATTTGGTTGAAGGTCCTCTTCTTTTCGGATTCCCAGCTCTTCTATGATTTCACTGGCTTTGTCATGCTGTCACGTATCCATTTGTTGGTTACTTCTACTTGCCCATGATCTGCAACTGCCTTCAACTTCATTTTCTCTTGGACATGCCACATGCCTTGTCTTTAATCCTTGCTTTCAGACCACTATCTTTATGTCCATGATTTTTGGATCCTTATTGATTACACCCATGCTCCTATCAACAGATGATTTAAATTTTGGTGCCAATAACACCATTGAAAATGGTATATTATATGCACTTCTAATTATGTCAAATTTTTTTTTTTTTTAGTTATGACTTATGATTTATTATTATTATTATATCTCATTTTATGTTTAGTTGTAATATTTCTTTAATTATGACTTAAAATGTATGAAGATATGTTATTTTATTTTTTAGTTAAGTAATGTTAGAGATCCTAAAAATTGTACAAAAGTTTTTACAAAATGCCTTATATATGTGTGTGACTCACACTATGTAAGTCCTTTATGAGTCTCATACTTATGTGAGACATTTGATAAAAATTTCCGTAGAATCTTTGAGATTTCTAACGTTTTTGTTTTTAGTTAAGGTAGATTTGTTTCCTACTTAAAAAAATAGATAAATTACAAACACACCTCTAAGGTTTATTTAAATTACAAATTAATTCACGTGATTCTAGAAATTACATTATATTCCCTAAGGTTTTTAATTTCATAACAAATAGGATATTTTATTAATAAATTATCAAGTTAATTAACAATTTTTAATAATGTTAAAATTTTATTTTAATTAATAATTCATATAATTTTATTATTGCATAAGTGAACAATTAGAAATTTTACATTTTCAATTAATTATGTTAAATAAAAAATTTTGACGGAAAAATATTTATAATTTTTTAAATGATAAAAGACAATTCGTATTTTAAGTAAAGTCTCAAAAAGATATATTTGTAATTTAGTCTTAAAATAATAATAAAATAATCGATGTAGTTCAATTCTAGGGTTTAATCGGGGGATAGAGTCTCTCAGCAGTTATTACACCCAGCAACCCCCTGACCATGCTGTAAATTGAGACCTCGATCACGCTCCATGAACTACGACGACGACGACTACTATTCATCACATCACCTCTAAAATCATGGAAGACAACCCTCCTTCCTCCCCAGAACAACCAGATCCCAAAAAACTCAAAATGTCCACCACCACCACGGACGACGACGACACCACCTCGGCCACCACCACAGATAAAAAAGAACGATACAAGCGCCGCAAAATCGCCATCTTCTTCGCCTACTGCGGCGTCGGCTACCAAGGCATGCAAAAAAACCCAGGCGCCAAAACCATCGAAGGCGACCTCGAAGAAGCCCTCTTCCTCTCCTCCGCCATTCCCGAACCCGACCGCGGTCTCCCCAAGCGCTTCGACTGGGCCCGGTCCGCTCGAACCGACAAGGGCGTCAGCGCCGTCGGCCAGGTCGTCTCCGGCCGGTTCTACATAGACCCGCCCGGTCTAGTCGATCGCCTCAACTCCAATCTCTCTCCCCAGATTCGGATTTTCGGGTATAAGCGTGTTACGGCGTCGTTTAATGCCAAGAAGTTTTGTGATCGTCGTAGGTATGTTTATCTTCTACCTGTTTTTGCCCTTGATCCTTGTTCGCATCGTGATAGAGAGAGTGTGTTGAATAGTTTGGGGTCTGAGAATGAGCTTGTCAAGTGTTTGGAGTGTTCGGAGAGAGGTCGAAAAGTCGCTGGTGTAATGGGTAAACGAAGCTTCGAACCCAATTCAGGCATTTCGTCGAACAATGGAGCTGCATTAACGAACTCTGAAGTTGAAGAGGCAATTGGGGTGGTTCCTTTGGAAAAATGTACTAATGATAATTCAAACTCTGATGATCATAAAGAGGAAATGGGGGTTTCTTTGGAAAAATGTAATAATGAGAATTCAAATTGTGATAATGTTGTTGTTGATGACAATGAGGGCGCTAATTTGGTTCCGCAAGTGGTGGTTGAAGATAAGAAAATGGAGGGTGAATCGGGTTTGTGTGGCAATGTGGAGGAGAAACCGGAAAAACTTAATGGGTTTTGTTATGATGAGAAGGAGAGAGAAAGGTTTAATCGAATTTTGAAGCGTTACGAGGGAACTCACAACTTCCATAACTTCACAACCAGAACTAAAGCTGAAGATCCTGCGGCGAAGCGATTCATTATTTCCTTCGATGCGAACACTATAGTTTCTGTTCAAGGAATTGATTTTGTTAAGTGTGAGGTTGTGGGGCAGAGCTTCATGCTTCATCAAATTCGGAAGATGGTTGGTCTTGCGGTTGCAATCATGAGGAATTGTGCTCCTGAGTCGCTGCTTGAAACCGCTCTGCAACAGTAAGTGCTTCCTTTTCTTTTGTTTTGACTGCATCATAGTTTGAAACTTGAAAAATGTATTTTTTTTGTTATTTTATTTTAGGGTCTAATTGTTGCTTTTAAAAACTTTAGGGATGTTAACATTAACGTGCCTACGGCTCCTGAGGTTGGGTTATATTTGGATGAATGTTTCTTTGCATCCTATAACCAGAAATGGAAAGATAGTCATGAAGAGCTATCTATGAAAGACTATGCAGAGGAGGCAGAGGACTTTAAAATGAATCATATTTACTCTCATATAGCATCAACAGAACATAAAGAAGGAGTTGCTGGTCTGTGGTTGCATTCGCTGAACTACCGCAATTATCCTGATTTACGCATTGTGAGCAATGGAGGGACCTCTGACACAAAATCTTCTGAGGTAGATGATGTCATGCCTGAGTGAGTTGTCTTGCAGCCAATGGTTTTTAACACTTATATCGGTTTTGTATGCCTCTCGCATGTGTTATTTATGTACTTGATGTTCACTTATATAAACTTTTGTTGTTTTGATTATATAGCGGAAAATAGTTGTCTGATTACAAATTCTTGCATTTAATGCTTATAAAACTCTAGTTCTTGAATTAGTCTGGAAGTTTTCCCCATTAAAATATATATATATATATATATAAATTGTAATAACTCTGATTTATGGGCAACTGTTGAATGTCTTGTTTGAAAATGTGCCTTAGGCTGGATGATGTTCTTTTATGGCATGTGGATCTTAATGCTTATGACTTGTGGCCTAAGAAGCATGGACACTGACACGTGACACGACACGAATACGACACGGACACGCCGACACGTTAATTTTAAAAAAATGCAGGACACGACACGTGGAGGACACGCATGAAATATATAATTTTATATATTTATTATATGTTATATATATGAATATATCATTCAAAGATAATAAAAAATGCAATATAGCACTACTTCCTATAAATTTATATGGTTTTTGTTTTATTATTGTATCTTAAGTTGTTTTGTTCAAACTTATAATTAGTTTTACATATCTATAATCAATAGACACATGTGTTTAAACAATTGACACGTGTGTCCTCCAAGTGTCCAAAGAGTGTCCGGGTCTTTAAAAATATTTAAAAAATAGGACACGTTTTGAAGAGTATCGGACACGTGTCCTAAGAGTGTCCAAAGAGTGTCGGTGTCCGACACGGACACGACACGGATACGTCACCTTCTTAGAAGTGTCCGTGCTTCTTAGGATTATAGATATCTATGAAATATTACCATGTAAATAAAGTGTAAATCCACAACTCAATTAGTCATCCTGCCATCAACAAACAACTAAAAAGTCCAGAACAATCAATTCTAACAATTAAAATGGATGTTCTTTTTGCAAGGAAACTCTCAGATGACTATAAAGAATAGAATGACACTATATACAGAGAGGAGAAGCAGATACTCAACTCTTCTAGAAATACGTGACATCACGTTTGTTATAAGATTTATTACTGTTACAGCCGTGAAAGGGTGAGCTGCAGTAGAACTAGTCTGGGTAAAATGGGCATTGCTTACAATAGCAAAACAGGTTATCAATCAAAGCCTCCAAACAAATCACTCAAAAGAAAAGAAAATCTGTAGGATAAGAAATAATAAGAATATATAAGAAAAATATGATTAAGAGAGAATAAACCTAGTTCAGATTTAGAAGTATTCAGTTTCTTTGTAAGTTATACTTTTAAGTTTACTAGTTTTGCATGGTTATTTTATTTCAGTCTGTTCTTTTTATCTATAATGTGAGAGGGATGCCCACATCTACTAAATTTCCCTTCAGATCCATATGCAACATGCAACTCCGCCGGGATTGCTTAACAACTCCACTGGTCCCAAGCCCGGGTAAAAGAGGAGGGTTGTGTGTTAGGTACCGACAGCCAACACGTAAAAAAGCCGCTCGGATCCTTTATGACATAAAGCCTAATACTCTGAATCCATATGCAACATGCATGACAACTTAAATGACTTCGGTATTTTCTAATACCATCTCTACCTCCTCCTTTCCAATCCCCTTCCAAGGCCTTTACTAATATCAAGGCCTTTACTAATATCAAGGGATTAGGAGTCCCCTCACCATCTCTCAAAACAAACACCCCATATAGTAGTTCCACCTCACTATCAATCCCAATCCCCTCCCTATAACCCCAAACAAACGGGGCCTAAGGATTGACCTTGTCGATGAGGTGATCTTTTACCGGGTGGGTTTAAAACAAGTGGATTTCCTTCAAACACAATAATGGAATAAGGAAATGAAGGGGTTAAGCTAGCAATGTTTAAACAATGAAGAATCAATTGTATTAAAAGCAAAGGAGCAGAAGCTCTCTGATGGTTTGAGTGTGTTGAACTTGGAACACAATTAGTATGTACCTGCCTGGTGATGAGACTGATTGAGTTGATACAGATTGAAAGTGTGGGTTGTGAACAGGTAGGCATTGCCTAATTGCAGTCCAACTAGCCCCCCCCCAAAAAAAAAAAAGGGCAAGCATTGCCTATATATGTATATGTGTGTCTGTATCTTCTTTGTGAACATGCCTTCAATTTTAAAAGATTTTTCTTGCCCTATGAAGCATGGACACTCCAAAATCGGTGCCGTAGCGGCGTCTGACAGGCCGGGGACATGCGTGTCCATATCGGGACATTGCATGGGACACGGCGAGGCTCACTTTTTTTTTTTTTTTTTTTCGCTTCTTCTTCTTGTTCTTTTGCCTCTCTTATTTAGTGCTTTTGTGAAGAATATTGTTGGATATTGAATGTTTTCCCTTTCTCGTCATTGTTTGTTATGAACTTTTTAAGAATGGATGATCTATTAATTTGTTTAAATGTAGTGGTTATATTTATTGAATTAATGTTACCATGTTAGTGTTTGTTAATTTTGATTTAGGATGAATATAATATGAATCTACACAACATATAAAAATATATAATAATAAAAAAAAATCACGTTGTCCCCTACCGTGTCTATGTCCGTGCTTCATAGTCCCTGCCCTATTTCTGAGCACGACATGTAGGTAAACAATGCCGACTTGCAGTGAGGCTTGTTCAGCAAAGTATTTGCATGTTAAATTCAAGAAGATTTTTGTATCAAGATTTCATGATGTTACATACCTTCTAGTGTAGAATCTATTACTCCGACATGGCATTCTGTGTTATTATGCTAAAATGCTGAGCAATAAAAAGTTTTTTTTGGTTTGACACTTTAACTGTCTTGGTTATGTTTGACTTTGTCATGGCAGTTGGTTTGGCTGTCTTCTGATATGATAAGCATACTATCTTTGTGATGGGTTTGAATGTTGTATGAAGAATTTTGTACGTTTTAACATTTTTTGTATACAACATGGATTCTACTCACCTGATGAACTAGTTTTCTTTTTCTTTTTCTTTACAATGATCTGATTGACTAGTTGAGAGGCATGAGTTATAATTGAGAGATATCAAATGTGCTAGTATACTAGTATTAAACTGTGAACCCTGGTTTAGAATAATGGGTATTATGAAAAAGAAGGTTTAGAATGAAAAGGATTCCAGTTAGGGTGATAATTTTTAACCTATTGTGTAGCAGCTCTCAGCAGCTTGAAGTGTTGAAGCATAGATTTGTATTTGGAGCCTATTGATCTAGATATTCGGGTGTTTTGCTTTGGGTATTTTAAAGCATACATTTGTATTTAAAACATGAATGACATGATAATATAAATGTATCTTTGTTGATCCCAGTTGATATGATTTTCAACTGTGTGTGAAGTGTGTGAACATCGTACTTGAAGAAGTTGCTCACTTAACACGTGCTGTTCAATTTCTCTTTGAGAATGAATCTGATGTAGTAATTGAAATTTCCTTTTCTCCTTCTGATCATGTAATGTCAGCAAAAGATAGCGAAGTGTGGTGAGGGAAGGATGAGAAGAACAGAGTAAGAATAGAAATTCAATGGGATGAATAGTGTTTGGTTGAGAAATTTGAGGAAGGATTTGAAAATGAAAATGAAAATGGAAAAGGAATGTGAAATGTGAATAAAATACACTTGTATTTCACTTAGTTTTACATGCTTTTTCCTTTTTATTTTTCAAATCCTTTTTCAAAATTTTCAACCAAACACAGCAGGCTTTTTCATCAATCACTTTTTGCCTTCTTTAAGGATAATTATTCAGTAATTCTGAAATATAGACACGTGGTATTTCATAACATTATGATTGGTAAAAAATGTGGGTATGTGAGGTATTGTGTTAGATAATTGGAAAATATGAGGGGATATATTGAATGATGATTAGTTAAGAAGTATAAACACGTAGTATTTCGGAAATATTGAATAATTTATCTTTCTTCAAAGGCCTTGAAAAGTGCTTTTATTTTGTATCAAGTATAAGATTCACATTCACCCAAAAAAAAGTATAAGATTCACTAAATTGTCTATGAAGAACCAGATAAGGTTTAAAACCTAGTTGAGAAAATTAAGCTAAATAATGCACATGGATTGTTTTTAAAAAAACAAAAAAAAAAATCATACAAATTAAATTTTTATAAAAATATATCTAAACATTCCACCTTACCCAAAAAAAAATAATAAATAAATAAAAATTAAACGTATTATAGCACTCCAGTATATAATAAAAAAAACATCCATGGGATTTTAGGCTTGGTTTTATTAGAAAGAAATAAATTATGAAAAACAAAAATGGTAAAAAGTAAAGTGAAAGAAAAAAAAAAGAAAAATAAAATATCTTTTCTTCGATGAATTTGATTATGATGAAAACTTTGTAAGAAAATAAGAATTTTAATTACAAGTAACAACTTTTATAATAAATTTAAATTTTCTTGTATTTTCCTATATTTTTTTTACAAAAAAACTAGCATTTTAGTTACCACGCTATTATGAGTTGTACAAGAAAATTTATTTTTTTATAACTTTTACCATTGTTATGCTAAACAAATTTTTAAAAAATATATTTTTTCCATTTCTTTTATTTTTTACCATTTTTATCATAGCCTTATTGTATAGTTTGCCAAAAGATTTGAATCACCTGTGTAGTGTTCCCCCAGTTCTGCACACCCTCGAGCCTCGAGGCTTCACACTCCATATATTTTTTAATATATTATTTTTGGGCCAGACAGGGTTGGGCCACACACTTCAATCCTATGTCCAATTCATTTATTCAACGAGTCTAAAATATTGGCCTAATTCAACTTTGCTCTATGGACCAAAGTATCTTTCCCAAGTTCTACGAGAATAAGGTTGGCTTGGGCGGTCTAGGTGGGCCAATGCCCAGCCCTATGAAAAGCTTTGTGAAAGTCGATGTTAGGTGTCAATTTGTGATTGATATTGGAAATACATTAAAAGTGAATCTTCTCTTCAGTTGTTGGATAGCGATATCCCAGGGTTTTAGAGCCTTGAAATTTTAACCTTAATTTGCGGGATTTACGTTTCCCTTAGAATTGTTAAAATAATCTTCTGTGTAAATAAAATAAATAATGTATCGAATTTATTTATCGAATTTAAAGAAAATTCAAAGATCAAGTCGAATGTGTGACACTCTGTCCTTTAGACAGATTCGTCCCGTTACGGTACTTACGGTTGAGTGGCGTCTATCTCCCAGGATACAATGATCTTTACAAACTTGTAGTAGCACTCCACA